ATCCTAGAAGCAGCAAGAGCTAAGAGGATAGTCACCTACAAAGGAGTTCCTATCAGACTGTCAGCGGATTTCTCAAAAGAGACCTTACAGGCAAGAAGGGGCTGGAAAGAGGTATTCCAAGTCATGAAATCCAAAGACCTACAGCCAAGATTGCTCTATCCAGCAAAACTTTCATTTAGAATGGAAGGACAGATAAAGTGCTTCTCAGATAAGATCAAATTCAAGGAGTTCATCATCACCAAGCCCCTATTATGTGAAATGTTAAAAGGACTTTTTACATAAAATGTAAATAGAAAAAGAAGATAAAAAGATGAACAGTGAAAGGACAGCAAACTCACAGTTATTAACAACCACACCTAAAACAAAAGCAAACTAAAAGGACAGCTAGATCAGGAGTGGAAACATAGAAATGAAGATCTCAAGGAGGGTTAGCAACAGGGGAGTGGGAGGAGGAGATGGAGCGAGAAGGTACAGAAAATAAGTAGCATAGACAGTAGATAGAAAATTGATGGGGGGGCAAGAATAGCATGGGAAATATAGAATCTAAAGAACTTGAGACACATGGTCATAAACTAAAGGGGGGGGTAATGGTGGGGACGGGGGGGTAGGGTGGAGGGGAATGAAGGGGGGAATAGAACAACTGTAATGGCATAATCAATTAAAAAAAAGAAAAAAAAAGCATCATCCTAGCCCATAGTGAGCAAGCAACCGAGAATTCATAGCTGTGGGTGAGGAATCATGACCAATGGCCTTTTTAAAAGCATAAACAAGCCAGTCGGAGGAAGACAAATACCATACGCTCTCACTCATATGTGGAATCTAATGAATAAAATAAATTGATGAACAAGATAAAACCAGAGGCATGGACACAGGGAACAGACTACCAGATCCCAGGGCAGGAAACTGGAAGAGATTGGCCAGATAACACATTCGCACATATGCAAAGCCCATGGACGCAGACGGTGATGTGGTGAAGGCTGGGGTGGGGGTGTTGGTACAGGCAGGCAAGGGGGGAAGTGGGGGACATCTGGAATAGTGTTAGCAGTAAAAATAAAGGGGACAGAAATAAGAAAAAATCAAAATAAAAACATAGAAGCAGTGGTTCTCAACCTTGGCTGCCAAATGGACTTCAGCCCCCAACCCCCCCTCAGAGATGGACAAAACCCTAATGTCCTGAGACCCCGCTCCTCTCCCCTTTACTCTCTCACACACCTTTCATGTTGTACGTCAGAGCAGAGTGCGGGAGCCAAGCAGGCTCTTCAACAATGTGCCTCCAAGTCATTAAAACAACCACAAGAAACAGTTTTCCTCCCATGTGCAATGGTGCGGCATCTCACTATGAAGCTGGGGCTCCGTAGGCTATAAATTACCGGTCAGCTAACAGTTAATTGTGCACTGGAGCAAGACTCAGAATCCGCAAGGGTTGTGATTAGTTGAGCCTAGAGAATGGCTCCAGTCTGGGTGCTGGCAGTGGATCAGAGACGGACTTAATGGGTCTCCCTGCAGGGGCGGCGGGGCGGAGTGGGGGCGGTGGGTTTTTCAAGAGCTGTTACCGCTCGGTGTTTTCCTCCCCATGGGCTCAGTCCCACTGGTAGCTCTCAGATGGTTTATAAGAATGTTCCCCAGGATAACTAGATGTCAAGTAAACATGTGATATTGGCAACTTCACCAATAGCAAAATATTGCGGTCTTGAAATGAATTCTACCCCAGGTGTCTATAAATTATCAGATCTGGAACCTGCAAAATCGCAGTGTGTCACGGTAGAGTCGAGTGCTCCTTTGTTACATTTCTTAAGGGTGTAAATTCATGTTTCTTTCTGTGTGGTTCCTGATGTGGTTGGAAACGAATTTAAAACGCAGGTTTATGACTTTGATAAATCTTGGGGTGCACACACACCATCCTCTTCAGCAGAGGCAGTCTGTTAAATGCTAGGAGCTGGAAAAGTATGAAGAATTATTTTCATCTCCTAAGACACTGACTCAAGGGCTTTTGGTGGGCGTTTGATCTCCACCCACAGGAAGAACGATGCGATTTCATTTTCCCTCTCTAGAATACCCTTTTAAGGAGACTCCGCGTTGGCAGCGGCACTGGGCGGCCTGACAGATCGGATGGCTCCAGGCTGCTGAATCGAGCTGAATCTCAACTTTATCATCAAACGAAACTGGAATGTGGAAGGCATAGAAAAGAAGGAGAAGAAAGAAAGAGAAACAAACTCTTTGATAAGAACCCAGATTAAAATTCAGCCTAGAACTATATGTGAATTGTGAAAGTATATGACACAAACATACTAACAGTATCACTTTATGGACCTTGTTTGAAACAAAAATCCTCTTTTACCTTCATTTCTGTGTGGAAATTAGGTTTCGCTTAGGCACCTGCTGGATTACATGGGATTATCAGACAGTCATCCCTGAAAACACGGCTGCTGTTAGGAGCAGGTGCCCAAGGTGTCGTGGTCCCCCCGGGACCGACCACCAGAGGGGGGCAGGAGACGAGGTTTCATATTTTCCAATTTGGGGGATTTTTTTGGTTAACTGGGCCTTACTGCTTCAACGTCCAATGTTTTATTTTGAAACTTCGCATGGAAACACTGTTGCACGTGAATGTGTCCGTGACCAGGGTGTACGGAGGGCGCCCTGCCCCGGGCGGGCGTCGGGTCGGCGTCTCCGCCCGGCAGCTCCACGAAGCGGCTCTGCTGTCCTAGCATCAGTGCCCTTGAACTGCCTTCTGTTTCCTCCTTGATTACAACCGCGGGCTATCACTCTCCTGCCTACCCCTCCGTCTGACTAGTGGGCTATATATAGCCTCTCTTCCTGTTCACCTTAACCTGCATCAACTGGATTGCACATAAAGTCGGGTTCTCAAATTACAAGAATCACTTACAGCCAGGCTGAGTTAAGGCCAAGGGCCTGGCACTTCTGGGAAAGGCTGCCCAGCAGCTCAGGGGCTGCCCCCCTGCAGGGGGCAGGGCTGGACAGCGGCCTGTCCCAGCTGAGACTCAGTTTGACCTTCAGCCCGGGGACACTCACGCACGCAGTGGGTGCTACACAGGTGACGCACTGGCCGAGAGGGGCAGCCTGGTGGGTCGGCTGCACCTGGGCTCGGGCCGGGCCGGGGCTGGAATCCCTCTCTGGGCTGGTGGCCAGCTCCGGCCACGTGACCCTGGGCTGTCCCTGCACACGCAGCTGGGGAGAAACGCTGGAGCCTGCTCACGGAGGTCATGACCACGCCTGTCTAAGCAGGTCTGGAAAGTGCTCACGTATAAAACAATAAAATAAGTCTCACCTAAGTGGCTACTCTCACTCAAAGACGAACTACGTGCTCGTCTGCTGTGGCCAGTCACCCAGCAAACCCAACAAAACCAACACCTGCCGCCCGCACTGCGTGGGGGGTTCTAACTGCGCCTCCGCCGCTGTCACCAGGGAAGCCCCTTCTCCCCGAAGACCTTGCATTGCATCTCGACACCGGTGACATTTTTAGAGACAGCCTGAAACGTGGTTAATCCACTAATTTACAATGACCTTAACTCGTAAGGGCCCTTGAAGGGTTCACAGACACTCTGCAACAGCTTTCTTTCTTCCGTTCCCTTGTAGCTGACGTTTCACACTGACAAAGGCTAAATGAGGGTTTTAAAAACTGGAATAGAAATATGTGCTTGTCACGGGAAATCTAAAAATTCAGATGAGCCCATGGAAAACAGTTCACGCTCTTGCCGCCAGGCCAGGCCCAGCCTTCCAGGTCCTGTGTGGCCGCCCGTGTGTGACCCTGCGCCTCATGCACAGGTGTTGTGCAGGTTAGAGTTTGGGGCAGATCTCTCTCATACCCATTCATGTTAGACATTTTTTAAATACAGGGTGGGGCAGAAGCAGGTTTACAGCTGCGAGTTTCTGAAACACAGCACAGGACAGTGGGAAGGAAGTCAGGTTGTACCAGGGCCCTACCCCGCCTCCGGTCACCCAGCGGGCTCTTCTCATGTGAGCCTGTGACCGCTGCAGAGTTCGTGGAAGCCAGGGCCCAATTGGCAAGTGCCCATGGGGTGCCTGGATGGGACCCCAGTCATGGGCCTGAACCATGAGACCTGCTGGGAGGGCTCTACCAGAGGGCCATCCAGCCCGATTTCTCCTGTGATTTCTCTAATTCTAGCTGGGCAGTGTCTGGGCTGGAATCAGAATTGTAACCTCTGTTTCCCATAGCTGCACTTTAGCCACTAGGCCTGACACACACTAGGTCTTCAATAAAGAGAGAGAAGGAGGGGGAGAGTAACATCGATGTGCCAGAGAAACACCAATCAGCTGTCTCTCACAGGTGGTCCACCGGGGACCAGGCCTGCCACCCAGGCATGTGCGCTGATGGGGAATTGAACCCATGATCTTCTGGTTCACAGGCCAGCGCTCAACCCACTGAGCCATACCGGCCAGGGCTCGGGAGTTTATTTTAATGCTCATTCCATATTTCCCCCGAAGAGTAATAAGAACTCTAAACACTGACAAGGCTTCTGTCTTTAAAAAGGGGCGCAGGGGAGACAAACTTTAATGTTTCTTTGGTTAAACACACTAAAGGCAGGAGCGGGCTGGAAGGTGGCACGTGGGCTAATGTCCCAAGGGGCCGCGTGGGCTCCCCACGTGCCCGAGGCACACACAGGGAGCAGAGGGTGGCTGGGCCGACCCGGCATGCGTCCCACTGCTGTCCCCCTCCTGCCCGAGTCCCCTGCCAAGTTCTCTGTCAACACTGCAGCCCCCAGAACCTGGGCAGGGAGGGGCAGTCTGCGCAGTTCTAAGCCTTGCCCAACCCTCAAGCCTGTTCGACTGAGAACCCTGCCGAGCCCCTCACGAGCGATGCAGGGTTGAGGCAGATAAGGTAATTCTTCGAGGGCACGTGGCTGGAAGGTGTCTCTACTCTGTAACACAGACCTAAAGTTAATGATAAACACAGCCTCAGATCGCCTTGAATGTAGCCCCTGTAGCTATTGCTAAAGCCATCCTCGGCGTCAGCCACTTACCTGCAAGGGGATCTCCAGTGCTGTCTGCAAAGCCATTCTCTTCTCCCTGGAAACCAAAAAGCAACCGTCATTAAAATCATACCCATGTACAAATGGAGGTATCACCAGTTTTCCAAGTGAGTTAAATGTCCATGAAAACTTGGGGCGGGGTGATGGGTGTGAAGAATGGTATTATGAGGGGCCGTGAGCTCTGCACCCCACTCAGAGTGTAAGGCTCCAACGCTTCCTCGGCTGGGTCCTCCAGGCCCAGCATGACCAGCCTGCCGACACTCAGCAAAGTTCGTTAAATGAATGGCTGTCCCCAGTTTTAAAAAATGTACCGATGTATGCAGCAATGTGCTACTGTTTTATTAGTATTTCATCTTATGCATTATTTCCCTTACTGTGTTTCTCATCTACTTCTTGGTGGGCTGTGTGTCAGGCCAGGTGAAAATTCTTTCTTCCTGTCTGGTACTTTTTAAATACACACTACAAAGCAGCAAAGAGAAACTTAGGCCACAGTGGCACCCAAATCTCGAGAGGTGATCGTGTCTCTGCCTGCATGATGGGGCTCATTTTCGTGACCAAGGCCCTGGGAGGGATGGACCCTGACCTTGAAGGGCCTGTGTGCATGTGTGCACGCGTGTGTGCAGGTGTGAGCAGGTGTGCATTTCCAACCCTGTCAGTGGACAGCAGCCCCATTCTGTGCAGCTGGTAGCCCCATCTCTGACACGCTGGTTAACAGGACCCCTTCACCCTCTGCACTGCGGAGGAACCCCGAGTTGGGTCAGAAGCCCCGGTTCCCCTCCAGCTGCCTTATCACCTCAGGCGCGTGGCGTGCCCACACGGTCTCCATTCCTCGGCTGTCGGACAAGGTGGACGACAGGTGAGAACCATCTCTAAGTGCCCTGCGTCCTCGGATCGCGGCACATTTCACCCTTAAAAATGTGCTAACTCCCTGGGGTTGAACATCGTAAATAGTCTTGTTCTCTCTCCTTCTAAGAAGACTTTCTCCTCCCTGTGAGCTCATAAATTCCGGTGTCTCCAAACGTAAACACGCTTGTCTAATTATGAGTTAATTTTTTCGCATTCCTCCATCCCACCAGCTGGGTTTTCCCCTCACTCGATACTTCTTGCTTCTGTTTGAGTGTCTGCCACCGCTTTTCCTGGAACAAAGAGCCGGCTGCTCCCCCACTTCTATTACAGTTTGCAAGAGAGAGGAAGCCTTTGAAAGGACAAAAACTTCCTACGTTTACAAGGTCAAGTCCAGAAGCTCCACGACGCTGGGCTTCCCTCCTCACTGTGCAACCAGTCGTGTGACCTGTGACCACAGCATGGCCCTGGCAGGAATGACAGGGACGTGCTGCTGCCACCGTCACACTCTGCCCCCTGAACCAGACACAAGGAACCAAGACAGAACCTTCCAGAGGTGTGAAACACTCAACTTGGCAGGGTCTGTGGTACGACTGAGGTCCCTGCTGAACATGAACTTCCCTTTAAGGCTACATAACATGGCATACTTCATCTTGCACAGTCCAGAGAAAGCTTTTAATGAAGTCGCTGTCTGGCCAGAATCGTCCCCATGATGAAGCCAAGGCACCTGACGCAGAAGTACTTGTGAAGGTTGATGATGACAGAACTTGGGGTCACATCTATGACCCCTGTTCTTGCTCTGATTACTGTTTCCAGTGGTTTTCTGGAGTGAAATCAGAAAAGCCTTCTTTGTGTGGTGTTCAGGGTCTCACAGAAACGGCATCCCTACCTTTACCCAACGCTTGTCTGCCGAGCAGCTTGTTCCCGTGTTGAGCCCAGCAGACAAAGGGGAAACGCCCTGAACCCGGACCTCAAGGCCTGCCCTCCACCATGCTGGGGTTACACAGACGCAGGAGTAGCTAAAATACCGGCAGAGGGTGACGGAGCTCGTCAGAGAGGAGGGGTTTCTTCAGACAGAACCCTCCCCGTCCCCAGAGGTGGCTTCTTTGACACAGAGATGCTTGAGAGAGCCCTGCTGAGGACGTGCAGTGGGGACTGGGGAGGAAAGGGCATTTAGCCAGAGGCCCACGTGAGTGGGCAGTAGCCTGGGCCCCCCCCCCCCGCCCACCATGGGGCATTTCTGTTGCAGCGAAGGCAGTAAGAGAGACGGCGGAGGCAACGAGGCCGGAGGGAGACCCGAAGGTCTGTCGGAGGAGCAGGCTGCATTGTCATTAGAGCCCTGAGCAGAGCAGGGGCCCCTCAGAGCTCTGGCTGGGGAGGAAACTCCGCCCGACTATGGGGGAGGGGGTGTCCCTAGTGGTCAGGGACAGCGTTGGAGGCCGGGAACTGGGGGTGCGCCCGGGAAAGCAGGGCTGACTCACAGACTAGGGCAGATGAGACCCCAAACCACTACCCTGGGGCAGGAAGGCACCAGGCTGGAGCCACCGCAGAGGTGGAGCCACCGGGGCAGTGGGTGGGGGGGTGGGGGGGCAGTGGAGGCGAGGTGAAGGGCAGGTTTGTCCCAGCTGAATCACGGTGCTGGGGTGGGGAGGCCCCGGCAGGACAAGAAGTGGTGCAGTGGTTGTGAAAGAAGACGCAGGTGGTGGAGAACCAGGTGTGAGCTCACAGCAAAACACCCACGTTCAGCACAGGGGAGGAAGGAGAGAGGAAAGCAGACAAAAGAAGTCACAGCAAGTGGTGACTGCCAAAAGCTGCAGCAAGACTAGAGGCTCTGAGGAGCGGAGTGGTAATTTGGGAAGGCAGGACACCCAGGAGGCGGTGGGGCCATGGAGGTGGCCAGAGGGGACAAAGAGATGGCCCGGACCCAAGCAGGGCTGCAGGCGAGCGCCCCCAGCCCTTCTCTCTGCTGAGCTTTCCCGTATCTTTGAGGCCTGGGTTTAGGCACCGCCTCTGGGAAACCGACTCCCAGTCCCAGTCTGGTGCTGTACCCTGGGCAGGCCCACAGCATCCCATACAGACACCACACCAGGCCCTGGTTCCACTGAGTGTAGAGGTTTGACGTGCCTCTTCTGCTCTAGACTCTAACTACAAAGCAAAAGATCTTATCCTTGTGCTGCGGTGACTCGCACACCTGAGACAGGTACTGCCACACACCTGCAAAGGGAGGCTGAGTGAGGGGCGGAGAGGAAAGGAGACACACGCACCTGGGGAGGGACTCCCCCACCACGCCCACCTTTCCCCCCTCCTGCTCTCTGCCCTCAGCTCCTCAGGCACCAGCTGCATGAGCTCCACCCTACTTCGTCCCTCTGGCCTCACCTGGATCCTGTGTACTTGGTCACAGTCAGCACTTTAGTGATGTGTTTGAGAACCCCTACATCTGTGCGCCGACTATGCGCCCCTCGCCCTCCTTAGTGCTGGATGAGCTCCAGGCCTCAGCCTCGCCCCGAGCGTTTCTGAGCTCACGAATCTCATTTTGCAGCGGGGCCCCGGCTGTGCCTTGGTTTTGTGGGAGAGACGAACGGGTTAACAAAACGTGGCATACTGTTCAGTTTTAGAAAGGAGGGAAACTGTGACACCTGCTACACCATGGAGGAACCTGGAGGACATCATGCTCAGTGAAGAAGCCAGTCACAAAAGGATAACTATTACAAGATCCCATTTCTGTGAGGGACCTAGAGTCAAATTTGAACAGACAGGAAGTAAAACAGGCGCTACCAGCAGCTGGGGGAGAGGGAGGGGAAGTTAAACTTGAGTTTAACGGGATAGAGTTTCCGGGTGGGAAGAGGAGACAGTTCTGGAGGTGATGGTGGTGACGGCTGCACAGTAGTGTCAGTGTAGTGCATGCCACAGAGCGTGCACTCAGAAATGGTCCGGGTGGCAAATACATGTTATACGTACTCCACCACAACAGAAAACGCTCACCTCCTTGGTAAATCTGAGGGTATCGCAAAGTTCAGTACCAATATTTTATATATACTCAGGTGGGCTAAAGGCAAGTCCCGCTTTGTAAACTTCCCCATTGCAGATACAAGGGATTCCCTGATGTTGGGGAAATGTGGTAACTGGTGCCTGAAATTCTCTGGGCAGAAGGAGAGGCGGGTGGTTACGCTGGTCTGCACTCTGCTTAGGCCCCACCTCTGCACAGGCAGCTACAGGCGCTGGGTGCTGGAGAACCCCCTGCAGACTACACCTGCCGGCTCCTCAGCGGCTCCCAGAGACCCTGGGGACCCTCTGCTCTCAGAGCGGGGATGCACCCCACTGCAGTCCCCAGGGGGCCGGACAGAGGGCCCAGACTCTGACAGAGGTGGGGGGAGGCGGTAACCGATGCCGAGGGGCTGTCTTCTGCAGTGTCCCACTGTTCCACCCGTAATGCTCTACACTCAGCTACCAGACCCAGGGTTCTACCTTCATTACTTTGCAAACTAAGGAGGGTCTGCTTAGAAACCTAATCGTCCCAGCTCACCGGGCACCTGCCACTGAGACTGCAGGCCGAGAGCCCAGAAGGAACACCTCCTGCAGACGACTTCACACTGGAGGGACCTGGGGGCCCACGCCAGTCAGAGCAGGAAACCAGCATCTGCCCCAAGGACCGCCCGAGCTGAAGCCTGACCTCTCTGCTATAAGAAAAGACTTGAGTGACGGTCTTTGAAAACAGGATTTTAAATGTGAGGCGTAGATGGTAACGGGGCACAGACAAGCACGGACTTAGGCGTCTCACTCTGGATTCTGCCCGGTCTTCCTAAAGCAATTCATACCAGTTCTTTCTCCACAAAGTAATTACCATTATTGTAACAAAGGCCTGCACTTACCTTTTTATGGAAGTTTAATATACACACAGAAAACTGGCGTTTAAAACTGAATCTAACCTAGGACACATTTATCAAGTACCCACGCAACATCAGGGACCATTCCAGTCCTGGACTGTGGGGACACAGGAGGCAGATCCGGGCTGCCTCAAGTTACCGGCCATTAATGGAACAAGAACGTGACAGACATCCGTGCCACAAGGAATAACATGTTAAACAGGCACGCAGAGATGCCAGGGGCACAGAGGTGCGCCAGGCTTCAAGTGAGACCTCAGGGAGCAAGGGGAGTTTCACTGGGATGAAAGGACAACACACGGAAAAACAGAAA